TGCCTGCTTTGGATTCTGTGTCTCCCTGACCCTCTGCCCCTCTCCCTCTCATGCACATGTGCACGCGCACGTGCGTGTGTGTGTCTCAAAAATAAATAAACATTAAAAAAAATTTTTTAAAGCAAAACTGACAGATAACACATGAGACCAGGTTTTGCTAGAAGGAAGCAATTCGTAAGACTTTAGAAGTCTCAGGAAATTGGACACTCATTGACACCTGTAGCTAAATTTTCTTACTCCTAAAAATTGTTCTTTTAAAGTTTTCTTTTTCTCTTCGCTCCCCGTGCCGCCTGCCTTCCACTCTCCTGTCAACCACACCCCTACTGCCACTCACATCCACTTACTCTCCAGCCGAACTTGACATCCATTTCTGCCTTTGAGTCATAAAAAACAGCTGTTTTGTTTCCTTTGTTTGTTAAGGCTTCAAGCATATTTCCCCAATTAAAAGTTGGGAGCAAATGTAAAAACCTGTTTGTGAGGGTAAGATTTTCAACTTGGCCTCACATCAGGGAATATGGATCCAGAAACGCAGCCAGTCTTTCAGAGGTATCAAGAGGGATTTTTGTTCTGTGAGAAAAGCACCCTCAGGGCTTGGTTGGGAGTCTATAACCCAGTGTCCTTGATTGGAACACTGTTTTGGGAGGACCACTCATCTGGGAGGAGCTCTGAGGACCACTCCCATGAGTGTCTGCGGGAGCCTGTCTCCTGCTATGAGGAGCCTCTAGTGTTGGCTCCCTCCCATAACTCAGTGGACGAGGCTCTGCAAGACCTACAGTAAGTCACTTCCCTCCTCCGGATCTGAACTGTAAAAATTTCCGTTTCCTGGACTGTAATTAGTCACTGTCCATTATTTTTAACTGTAGAAAGAACTTCACTCAGACAAACTCTTGTATATAAGTTTATATTAAAAACAAACAAATATGTCGCTGGCCTAGTTCAGGCTGTGGCGATGGGGAAAGCCCCACCTGCTCTCACTTTGCCCAACACCTCCTCTGCTTCCTCCTTCAGGCAGCAGCCAAGGACTCTCAGGGGATCTCCTTGGCGGAAACATAGTGCAAATTGCCAGATGTGATTGTCTCTAGGGCCAGTGTGCAGGGAAATGTTTAATATAGTCTGGGGAGTGGGGAGTGCTGATTTGCAGTGTTCGCTGATTTCTGTGGTGTAAATACTGCCACTCAAGGCACCAATGTCATGTCGCTGAATGCAAAGTTGGGCATGCAGTGGCATCCCATGTGGAAAAGTAATTATGAAGCAATGAGTTTTGAGTATTTATTATCTTTGCTTTGAATATAATTTATTCAACTGTAAGTTTATATGATGTAATTTTTGATAATAGCTGTGTTAGCAATTGGCTTGCAAAACTCTGGAAAATTTAACAATCGGTTCTTACAAGTTAGTATGAGCCAGCTCCAGGATACCACCATCTAGAATCTTTTTAGCGCCAACATTCTAAATCTTTATACCAAAGCATAAGCTGTTTAAAGCTGGAAAGGGCTAAGTGGGATAATCCTAGGGATTTGGGAAGTGTACTCAGGAAGGGGGCAGAGAAACATGTTTTCAGTGTAATATCCAGCACAGTGCACAGAACTAAAAAATAGCCAGTCAGTGAATGATTCAATGACCCGATGGGGCAATGACTCAACCCATATTCAGGAGGCTTTGTACTTTGAGTTATTTTTTCAGCCAGTCGTGGGGTGGGTTTTTATACCCATCCAATCACATTATGTCATCCAGCCTTCCATGGGACAGGTGACACCAACTATGGCCAAGAGGTATCAGCAGCGCATAAGTTAATGGGGTCTTGGAGAGCCTACAATAAGGATGTCATCTGATATGCAAACTGGTCACAGCTGACAATCCAGGCATGTCCAGAGGCCTGCCTGGGTTCTACCTAGACTTCCAGGCAGCATGATCCCCCTCGGGTGGGTCTGATCTTATTGTAAGTATCTTGTCCCTCTTCCTGGTTACCATCTCCCTGCAGACTAGTGTTGAGTTCATACTTTGGTCCTTCAGTTCTTCCCAGAGTCTTTGAAAATAGCATGGATGTTCAACAGCCAAGGAGTTAAAAGTCCAGATTCCTTAGAACCAAAATTCTAGTTTTGTCACTTAAAAATTATGTGACCTTGGGCAAACTGCTTAACTTCTCTGTATTTCGATTTCATCCTAGTTAAAATGTGGATGATAATAGTACTTACTCCAAAGCATTATTGGGAAGATCAAATGAGTTTCATATATATAAAGTACTTAGAACAATGTTTGACGTAGAATATGCTATTTAAATGTTACCTATTATATTATGATTATATATAATATATAATATGTGCACTTATACATAATTGTTACATATAATAATAATATATGCACTAAATGAATGAATGCAGGTAAACAAATGCATGGGAAAGAAAGGCCTGGATGGATGTGCAATGAGAGTCTTCTGGAAAACAAATGCCAAATATACATAATAAATAAGAGCAGTAACCTTAGCTAGCATTTACTGTGTGTTTAAAATGCATTTTATAAGCATTATTTCATTAATTCCTCATAAAAATTCTAATAGTAAGGAACTGCCTTTAGCTGTATTATACAGATAAGAAAACCCAGACCTGTTGAAGGCAACAAACTTTCCCAAGATCACATAGTTTGTTAGTGACTCAAATCCACATCTTTTGACTCGAGAGCTTGAGCTTCTAACCATTTAACCCATCAGCCAGCTCCTAACCTGATGCCATCCCTCTCAGTATTGTGCTCCACCTCTGCCTTTCTTCCCACCCTACCCCTCCATATCTTCACCCATCCCTTCAGACCTATCCAAGACTTACATGCTTTCTGAAGATTTCCCAGACTGTTCCCCTTAATATGATGCTCCCAGCAATTCCATATACTGTGTAGCCCTCACCTTCTCCTGCCCCTCACTGTTTTCTCTCTGTGTGTGTGTCATACAAGTGGAGACTTTGTGTGGAGATTTTGCAAGATCTAGGTTAAATTCATGCCCAAGCTAAGGCATTGCCCCAAACTCCATGACACAGCCAATTCCTGCTGAAAGCTGCCCTGTGTATGCACCATGGCTCCCCAGAAACTGCACTCTGCCATTAGCTTTCATGTCAGGGGCTGTGAAATGGGAACAACGGGAAGTTTAGCTGGATAGATCAAGCACCCTTGACTTCTCTCAGTCACAGGCTCAATGGTTCAGAGAGAAGAATGGAGAGCCGAAGTTAGTTGTTTCTATGGAAGAGATGATCCTGCCTCTACCCTCTAGGTGTCTGCCTACTGCATGTTCACAGATACAAAACCCCTTTAAGAGCATCTGCAGAACAACTCACAAGAGAATGCAAATGTAGTACAGAGCACAAAGAAGTGCCAAGGGGGGTAGGGAGTTCAAAGGAGTGCTCAGTATGCAATAGCACCCTTCAGGGAAAGTTTCTTGGAGATAGTGAGCAGAGTTTATAAAAATTAAAAATAATACTGTCTTGGTACAAATGCAGTACATGCCATGACAAACAAATCAGAAAATACAGACAAGCAAAGAAAGGGAATTCTAAAAACCCACCTACAATCTCGCCCACCCAAAGACAACTTCTATTAACACCCTCAACACCTTGACAACTAGATTTTACATGAAGCAATGTGCAGAGCTGAAGCACAGGTTGTGTGTGTGTATGTGTGTGTGTGTGTGTGTGTCAGAGGAGTGGAGAGGGAGCAGAAACAGTCTTGGCATTCTAGTCTATCCTGGGGAGTAAGTGATGAGAAATCTATTTGATAGGATTGAGAAGTAGAGGCTTGAAGAAGAGGACTAACAGATCTCTCAGACCAGGCAGAGATTTCAAGCAGTCAGCAATACCAAGGTCACTAGCTGAACAGTGACCCAATTAAAATAATCATAGTAGCAATAACAGTGAACACGTGTTGAGTGCTTCCCATGTACATGGTATTGTGCTAAAGACTTTACATTCCATCATCTTGTATAATCCTCACAACCATGCTATGAAGTGGGATAGTCTCACCCATATTTTATGGTGGGTAAGGGGTTTGCCCAAGTTCACCAACCCATACACCAGGGTTTCTTAGATAGTGTACTCTATAGGTTAGGTTACCTGCATCAGAATTCCCCGAGGTATTTGTTAGATCAGTCAAGACAATAGGAGTCAAAAAACCCAAGACCTGTTGACTCCATGGTTTGATTGAAGGTCATCTTCAGGCTGAAATGCTTCTGGTTTGAAAGTCACCTGTGAGCATGCCCAGAAGATACCTGTAAACTAAGAAATGCCCAGGGCTGTCTTCTGAGTGATCCACAGTCCCATTTCCTTCTAAAAATGCTCTGAGTCCTGTGGGCTCTACACGCCTTTCTTCTCCTTGGATTAATCATCTTTCAGCCCCAAATCCCAGAGAGAGCCTTCTATAGGAGGTGTGCTGCCCACAAAGGCAGCCACGAGATAGTGTAGGTCAATCATTCAAGGCACCGAAGGGGACAGTCAGGATCAAGGGGTAAAAAATGGATTGGGAGATTAGGATGACAAGGGAAGACTGGGAACAAAGAGCCCACACCCTGATGTTGTCCTTTTATGTCTTCACCTGACCTTAGCCAAGTCCCCTGGCCTTCTAATCTCAGGGCTCTTATCTATAAAATTAGGGAGTTGCCCTTAATGGTCTCAAAGGTCCTTTCGGCTAGGTGGGAATATACTGTCTAAATCCAGCATGTACTTCTGCTGCCCTTGTTTACCTGGGGGCAAGTCCAGAAGCCCAGGAGTCTCATGGCCACCTGGAGGGCCATGGCAGATACCTGCTTATGGGGACCACCACGGCCTTAACAAAGGTAACCTTCACCAAGGAGGCTGGGGAAGACCAGGAGTGGCTCCAGCCCTGGACGAGATGCTGGGGCCTCCCTAACTGTAGAACAGTTCAAAGACCTTTCATGTACATTATCCCATTGGATCCTTTCCACTCCCTCATAGGTTAGCACTTATTATAGCTCCATGTGACCACAAGGCAAAGACAGAGAGAACACTGTGGGAATCAAAATGTATTTTCAAGAACACCCAGGGACAAGGTACAAAAGTAGCAGCTGGGAAGAAGCACTTGGTTGCCAGGCTTTCAATTCCAGACTGTGAGGCAGGTTTTGCAAGTTACCAGGAAAGTTTCCCCAGCAGTGCTCAGGATCCACCTTCTTTCTCTTTGTGCCACTCTCACTGGTTGGCTGGCTGCCACTCAGCATGGAGCCAGCCCTCTATTGGGCTGAGTTCTCCTCTGTCACCTCTGAGGTACCTGTGACAAGATAATTGCCATATTAATAAATTTGCTGTATTTTTCCATTGCCTTCTCTTTACAAGCAGGCACTGTTAGTCAGCCTTTTTGTTTTTTCTTGCCTTAGGAATTCTTGCAGGACTGAAAGCAGAAGCTGCTTGAAGCTAATAGATCTTCTGTTTGGTAAAAAGCCCTGGCTCATTTATGAGATGATGCAGACACCCTGAGGGAGAAGGGGGGTGGAAGCAGGAGAGCTTTGAAGGACCAGAAAAGAGAAAGAAGTGTGCTCAGAGTCCAGAGTTAGAAAACAACTCTGATTACAAGAACAGAGCCCATCAGAGCCTTGGTTAAGGGCCAGATCTCAGGGGATACAAGGCCTTAAGCATTGGGTTTCCAACCTCAACAAAGATCCCTGGGCCCTAAAGTATGACTCAGAAACACTAAAATCACCAAAGTGGATGAGACCTGAGGCACCAAAGTGTGGACTCTCAGCAGATGAGTGAGATGCCTCTACACTGTTGTCCAATTAGGCACAATTTTCAAGGGATTGAGCTCCCAGAATGACTAAATAAATTTCTACTCACTGAACAGGACTGGGAGTTCAGAGTCAGATTTATTTTGATTAAAGGGGAAAAAGCAGAGGAATAAAATATTCCTAGCTCAGCTGGGTTGTGTAGTAAGAGTCACACTTGACACGTATAGAAGCATGAATGACCCCAGGGCACTGGTGCCACCAGTCTGTGAAGATACCAGTTACATCTTCTTAATACTCAAATCTTATTAGTGCTAAGCTCTCCTCAGCTGATGTAAGAATTCCAGTCCAATTCTTGGACTGTTGGTTAGGAGGCATTAGCCGCAAGTAATAGAAAACCCAGATTCAAATATATAAGGAAATACATTATTTCACTGAAGGGAATTGCAGAAGTTGTGGGCTCCAGGTGTAGTCCAATGAGAGGCTCAAAGTATTAGGGACCCAAGTTGTCTTTAACTATCTGCTTTTTCTGTCCTCAAGATGTTGGCTTTGTCCTCCAGCTGATTCCCTTTGCGGTAATAAGATATCTTCACCAGATACAATAATAGCTAGAGGAAGAAAAAGACACTCTTCCTGTATCTGCTTCTTAGAAGCACAAAAACTTTCCAAAAGTGCCCTGTAGAATTCCATTCATACCTCACTGGCCAGAATTGGGTACATGCCTATTCTTAACACTATCTCTGGCAAGGAGAATTGAGTCACTGTCTTGATGGGAAGCTAAAGAGTCCATCACAACACTGATACTTTCCTTCTCTCAAATACAGGCTTGCTCACTATAAGGTCACATGGACACCTCCCCTTCCCATGGTTGGGTTTGGGTCTTTCTTCATTTATGTTAAACGCTTTCTCAGGGACCCTAACGTCTCCCATAGAGTGGAAAGCTCTCAGACTTTCTACTGAATCCCAAATGCAAATGCTGCTCAAGCTTTCTTTCCCTTGGAATTCTTTGGTAGAAACAGGTCCTTAGAGGAAGTGGGGAACTGAGGGACCCATACTCCTTTTGCCAGACAAATCCAACTTCAGTTCTGGCCCAGCCAAAACCTTCATTGTGTGTTTGTGTCCAGCTTGTGCCCCAGACCTCATCTTGTCTTCTGGACCCAATGGGGTCAAGGTGGGCCACCAGCAAAGAATGCTGCACAAGCCACATTGGGAAAAGACTATTGGTGCTACTTTTCTCAGAAGGATGCTCTGTACATGGCATTATGATTTCCGCTTCAGATTATTCACCACACTGATATTAACCCTATTTTACATTAGAGGAAAGAGGTATGGAATAGTAAAGTAGCAGGCTTAAGGCCACTCAGCTAATTAGGCAGCAGAGCCCAGAACATTCTTCTATAAGTATTTTTGTGGACAAAGCCTAGAAATTTAATTGCTGGTTCACAGTATGTGCATGCGCTTCTCTATGAGAAACTAACTGCCAAACTGTTTTCCAAAATAGCGTATGAGTGTTCCAGTTGCTCCACATCCTCATCAACATTTGGTATTGTATTTTATTTTTAGCCATTCTAGTGGTGTATATTTGTTTTAATTTGTATTTCCTGGCTGACTAGTGACAGTGAGCCCTTTTTAACATGCTTACCGGCCATTTGTATATCTTGTATGAAGTGTCTGGCCATCCTCTTTAATTGGGTTACTGCTCTTATATTAAGCTGCAGAAATGCTTTATTTTTTTTTCTCAAGGGTGCATAAATTTGTAATTTTGTTGTGATCTTATACATTGATATTTTTCTTTGATAGCTATTGTTTTCGGTAAGCTGTCCCAAAACACCTTTGACTACTCAGAGATTACGAAGATATTCTCCTATTTATCCTTCTAGAAGCTTTATAGTTTATCTTTTACATTTAGGTCTATGATTTCTCTCAGATTAATGTTTGTGAATGATGTGAAGTGCTGGTCAAAGTTCATGTTCTCTTTTTCTTTAATGTTTATTTTTGAGAGAGAGAGAGACAGAGTACAAGTGAGGGAGGGGCAGAGAGGGAGAGGGGAGGGGGACACAGAATCTGAAACAGGCTCCAGGCTCTGAGCTGTCAGCACAGAGCCCAACACAGGGCTAGAACCCATGAGCTGTGAGATCATGACCTGAGCCGAAGTTGGACACCTAGCTGACTGAGCCACCCAGGTGCCTCCAAAGTTTGTGTTTTTAGTATGGAAATCCAACTGTTCCAGCATCATCAGTTGAAAAACCTCTCATTGTACCATAGAAATGAGTTGGCCATGCTGTCAAAATTATGTAGCCATTAAAATATAGGTCTTTTTCTAGACCATCTTTCAGTTTTGATGTATATAACTATCCTTACCCCAATACCCTAGCACCTCAATTACTGTAGCTTTAGAGTAAGTTTGAACACACATAGCTTGAGTTCCCTCATTTTGTTCTTCTTTTCCAATACTGTTTTGGTTATTCTAGATGCTTTGCTTTCTTATACACTTTAGAACTGGTTTATACACCGGGCGCCTGGGTGGCTTAGTCGGTTGGGCGTCCAACTTTCGCGTAGGTCATGATCTCGCGGTTCGTGGGTTCGGGCCCCGTGTCGGGCTCTGTGCTGCCAGCTCAGAGCCTGAAGCCTGTTTCAGAGTCTGTGTCTCCTTCTCTCTCTGACCCTCCCCTGCTCACGCTGTCTCTCTCTCTCCTAGAAATAAATAAAAAAATATTTAAAAAAAAAAACTGGTTTATACACACATACACACACACACACACACACACACCTACTAGGACTTCGGGATTTCACTGAGTTAGGTAGGCATAAAAGGAAAAACCCAATTCTTCCCTACTATGTCTTTCTTCCCTGTGAGTCTACTTTACACAGAATATTTCACATCTGACACTTCTGGTCACCAAATGTGTGGAGTTTTTTCCCCACAATAACAAGCAAGTCTTGGATACCAGCTGAATATCCTATAATTTAATTCAATTCTGACACTAACTACGTGGAGATAACATCTGGTCAGGGCTCAGTCCCATAAGACTGCCCTCTTCCCTGAGAGGCCAGTTAAAATTTGTGCTTCTTAGTGACCACTATGAATCAGAGCTTCCAAAGACCCCTTCTTCAGGTTTGATTAATTTGCTAGAGTGGCTTATAGAACTCAGAGAAATGCTTACTTACATTTACCATGTTATTAAAGGAGACAGATGAACATCCAGATGAAGAGATACTTAGCACAATACCTGAGAGGGTCCTGAGGGCAGGAGCTTCGGTCTCTGTGGAGTTGGGATGTGTCAACCTCCTGGCATGGACGTGTTGGCCAGCCTGGAAGCTCTTCAAACTCCATACTATTGGGATTTTATGGAGGCTTCCTCACATAGGCATGATCAATCATTAACTCTGTTTCTAGCCTGTCTCCCCCCTCTAGAGGACGAGGGATAGGGCCAAAAATCTAAGCTTCTAATGAGGGCTTGGTCTTTTTGATGACCAGCCCCCATCCAGGAGACCACCCAGAATTGCCTCATCAGAACAGATGATGCTCTTAGTTTTCTTATCACTTAGGAAATTACAAGGGTTTTTGGAAATCCATGCCAGGAAGCAGGATGAACTCCAAATACATATTTCTTATTATAAATCACAACAACATGTTTCCACTTCAGTATGCTTCTCTGCCGGTGTACCAATCCTCTCCAGGTTCTTTTCTGTCACAAAAGAGAAGGATTTCTCCACATTTTGAGGACTAACTCCTCTGCCAAACTTTTGATTTCATCTCAGTCTGGCTTCTCTGTCCTTTCTCCAACATTTCAAACCCTCCTTCACCAGTGGCTCCTGCCCTGTCTTCAAACTTCCGTTTGTGTGTGTGTGTGTGTGTGTGTGTGTGTGTGTGTGTGTGTGTTCTTTCTAATATTGAATTAAACTCAGGAATACCTGGATGGCTTACCAGGTCATACCATGTCATGATCTCATGGCTCGTGAGTTCGAGCCACCATTGGGCTCCATGCTGAGCCTGCTCGGTATTCTTTCTCTCTCCCTCTCCTCCCTCCCCTTCTCTGCCCCTCCCCCACTCATGCTCATGCTCTCTCTCCTTCAAAAATAAATAAACTTTAAAAATTTTTTAAATCTTGAATTAAATTCAAATGAGCTTTAGTACTCATTCCACTCCTGTCTTCCCCTTCCAGGATTCTCTCTGGTCACATATAACTGCTGCCTTCCCTTCTTTCATGTCTACTCATTTCTTTAATCCTTGTAGTGGAGGGTCCACCTTCTATCATCAGTTTCCAGAACTTCTCAATTACAAATTCCAATCTACAAGACTCAGTGCTTCATCTCTCTTCAGGTTCTCCTCTTTGTGATGCTGTGCTCTGGTGACTTTCTCTGTCTCCTTGGTGGTCCTCTCTCTGTGACTGTTTCTCCTTCCTTTATAGACATTCCTGCCCTTGTTTGGTGGCCTCAAAAGAGATGAAAAGCCATCAGACAAATACCCCCAACTTCCCACCTGCAAATCTGAAAAACCATCATTTTTCTGGTCAAAATGAAACATTTGTCTCTTCCTTGACCCAGT